TGTAATCAAAATTCATGCATATATCCACATGGCTTATCCCCAGAATTCTGGAGTTGAGCTTGCATGTGAGCAAGCCTTTAAAGCTAACACACTCAGTTAATGGGAAATACAGAGGAGAGGGGACAGGTTGAACACCACCCTGAGGAAGCAGACATACAAATTCAGAATGTGGGGCATTCTGTAGGATCACAGATCTGGCTTATTTAACAACGCCATAACATGAGGGAACAACAACAAAAAACTAGTAGTTGCGTGGGAGAGTGATGTTGCTCTAGATTTAGGAGATGTAACCTATAAATATGATGTAAAGACTTCATTGGGTCCTGATTCCAGTAAACCAACTGTGAGAGGCATTTTTGAGACAAAAGGGAAAATTTGAATTTGGACTAGGTATTTATTAATTAGGAGCCCTGGTGGCACAGTTGTTGAAGCTGCTAATAAAAAGGTTCATACCAAGAAATTATTGTTAATTATATTAAGTGTGATAATGGCTTTGTGATTATTTCTACTGAAGTACGGCATTTTATAATATTTGAGCAAAATTTTTTTTAAAAGTGGGTGTATGGGGCTTTGTTATGCTGTTTTCTCTACTTTTATAAATGCTTGGCTGTTTTAGAATAAAAAATTTTAAACATAAATTCAAGTATATGAAGGAAATCAACCAAAATGTTAACTATTTTCCTGATTAAGAGTGATTTTTTTTTTTATTTAAGAGTCCAAAAAAACTAGGAAGTACTTTTTTCAGAAAAATATGTCATATTACAGGTAAATGTTATTGTAGAAATGAAAGCTGGAAAGAACCAAAGAACACAAGATACACAAGGCATGTTGGGTGGACATGGTGGGAGGGGGAGTCCCAAGAAGAAAGGAGGAATTTGATGACAATTCTCCTGCTCCACACTTTTTCTAATAAGTTACACACCTGTACGTGTATGCCTTTGTGAATTTGAGTAAGTGCATGCACTTGCTATATGTTAATACTAAATAAGCCTTTTATTATTTATTTAAGATGATAAGCCCTTGAAAATGATTCCAAGACTTTCCATATTCTAAATTCCATTTGCAGTCTGATCCACAGAGCATTCTCAAATCTTTATGATTTATCCAATTCTAGTGAATTTCATCGAGTAGTTGAAATCTAGCAGTGTCTTTTAAGCAATACACATCTTTTACTCACAACAGTTTTGCTGCAGATTAAATTTTTCTTCAAGGCAGTTTGTGCTATATTCTTTGCAGTGCTATGAAGGAAAATCCTCCAAAGATCCCCTGAAGAGAGTTGCTGCCCAAGCCTTGATGTCACTCCTGGCTGTCAGCAGAAGGGCACAAAGACACGCTCTGAAAGGTGAGCCACACAACACAGCAACTGTTCTGTGGCATGTTTTCAATTCATATATTTCTCTCCTTGTTCATTCTAATTTTCTCTGAACTCAAAATTAAAGAATTTACAACATAATCTCAGTGTCACTGGAAAACAATAGATTTTTCTATACTAAAACACGGTAAACATGCATTACTTTTAAAATAAGAATATTCTACATGTAGGTTATTTTTTTATTGTGTAATGATTCTAATGAATCTATGCCTAAATACTAAAAAAGAAAAAAAAACAACAACAACTTATAGTGACCCTCTAGGACAGAGTAGAACTGCCCCATAGGGTTTCTAAGGCTGTAAATCTTTATGGAAGGAGACTGCCACATCTTTCTCCCATGGAGCAGCTTGTGGGTTTGAACGGCTGACCTTTTGGTTAGCAGCCAAGTGCTTAACCACTGTGCCACCAGGACCCCTTGCCTAAATATTAGAGAAGCTAAAAAAGTAATGCATTTCTCAATTCCACATTAATAACAGAATATTCATAAAAACATTGCATATCTGTAAAAAACACATAGTTTTTGTGGTAATAACAGTAAAATGAAATGATCCTGTATTTTTACATAAATTTCCTCTCTAGAGTGCTGTAATTTCTCATGTGGACATCTGGGAACATAGGTCTGAGAGTTGAAAGTGAATTTCACTTGTGATTTGCCACTAAAACAAATTATGCATGCCTAAAACAAATCAGATTTTGGGAGTATCTTAGTAAGCATTTTGAAAACAAGTGGGCTTAAGCATGTTAGTTCTCTTCAGTATTTTTCCCCCCTCTGATTCTTTAATCTCTCACTGAAAATACTAAAGTGAAGTTGGTGAGAAATAGCAACTGTTTTAAAGAGTCTGATTGTTACATGTTGTTTTAACTATTTTGAAAATGGACTATCCTTCTGACTGTCATAGATTTTTGTCTTTCAGCTGATCTCATAGACAACTGCATGGAGCAGATGAAGCATATTCATGCACAACTGAACCTAGATTCCCTGAGGCCTGGGAAAGCAGCCCTGAAAAGAAAGGTAACTGAATTCTAACGTTCTGGGATAAAGGAATGGAGGTACATAGAGACCATCTCTCCAGTGCTCTAATGCTTTATCAATGACACCAACATTTGGTTGAAATGAGTGTCTGATGTAGAAGAAAGGTGCAGTCAGATAAAATAATGAGATTTCTGTATTAGCAGATTTGGTGTTTTTTGTTGTTTTGTTTTTTGGGGTGTTGATTTAATTCTGACTTGAATGGGAGTAATAGATTATTTTAAAACCTAAACAAAACCCGCTGCCTTCTAGTCGATTCCAACTCATAGCAACTCTATAGGACAGAGGAGAACTGCCCCACAGGGTTTCCAAGGCTGTAAATCTTTACCGAAGCAGACTGCCACATCTTTATCCTGAGGAGTGGCTGCTGGGTTAGAACCACTGACCTTTCAGTTAGCAGCCAAGCATTTAACCACTGTGCTGCCAGGGCTCCTTGAGATTTATTATCTATTTTTGTTATTATAAACATTTTGCAGTGTCCACATATGTATGATACTATACTAGAAAAATTATTTTTACACTATAAAAAGAAACCATTTCTCCCAAAGCAAGCATTAGTTCACTAAGAATGATATATATGTTTTTGTTGTTAGTTGCTGTCGAGTTGACTCCAACTCATGGCAACCTTATATATAACAGAACAAAATGGTGCCTTGTCCTGTGCCGTCTTCATGATCGTTGGTATGTTTGAGACCATTTTGGGGGCTATTGTGTCAATCTCATGAAGGGTTTCCCTCGTTTTAATATATACCAGGCACTCTTCTAAGTATTTCATTTTTATTATCTCATTGAAACTCAAGACAACATTATCACACAACTAGCAGTTGATGAAACTGGTATATGCCCCACGTCTGGGCGATTGCAGACCTGGTGTTCCTAATCTCTGTTTACCTGTTCCCATGACTTCCACATGTCTCTTCTAGCACTAAGTCTGCTGGACTTATGTTCAAACTGCATGTTCATGTAAACTTGAAACAACTTACCTACCTACCTAGCAGTTGCCATTGAGTCAACCTCAACTCATGGTGACCCCATGTGTGTCAGAGTAGAACTGTACTCCGTAGGGTTTTCAGTGGCTGATTTTTTTTAAATAGATCACCAAGCATTTCTTCCAAGGCACCTCTGGGTGGACTCAAACATCCAACCCTTCGGTTAACAGCCAAGCACGTTTGCACCATTTGCACCACCCAGGGACTCTTAAAACAGCATAGGTATTATATAATAGCTATGGTTAATAATAATAACTGTGGTTAATAGATCTGCCTCACATGATTATTCAGAAAATGAGGACTTGTGTGTATATATAAACTTATGTATACACACATACATATATATAGGTAAGACCATCATAACAGCAATCTATGAAATAACTAGTTTCTATTGCATTTGATAAGAAACCAAGACAAAGCCTTATTTAACTTTTTTTTTTTTTTCTAAATGAGGACAGCGGTCAAAAAACCAGCCACTAGACTTGGAGCAGAATAAACCAAAACCAAACCCATTGTCATCAAGTAAATTCTAACTCATAGCAACCCTATAGGACAGAGTAGAACTGCCCTCTAGGGTTTCCAAGGCTGTAAATCCTTAACACGGACTGCCGCATCTTTCTCCTGCAGAGCAGCTGGTGGGTTTGAACCACAGACCTTTCAATTAGCAGGCAAGCACTTAACCACTGTGCCACCAGGGCTCCTTTGGAGCAGAATAATCAGTACACAAAACATTAGCCAGTGGCTGTACATCACGTGTCCCAAGAGACATTAGCTCTAAACTCTAAAACTAAATAACAGGCTTATAGAACTTACAGCTTTAGAAATTACCCTTTATATAGTATCTCATCTAATTCCCACAGTAATGTAATTTTTACAATGTTGATGAAACTGAGGCCCACAGATGTGAAGTAAAGTGCTTGCTCAATGCCATATAACAGTGAGTGACAGAGCAAACTCCAGTTGAGGTCTCCCAACTCCAAGCCTAATGCCTTTTCCACTACATTAACTGGCCATGTCCTTCCTGAGCTTTTGGGCTGCTATTTCAGCCAACAATACTGTAAGGTTTTTTGTGTTTTAGAAGATACTGAGGGAAAGATCTAATAAACTACGTCCTCATGAAAGTTTCATTCCTTCAGAAGTATGCACTGAGCACCTTATTTAAAATTTTAATTGATGCGGGATCAGATGTTTGTTGGTGTCTTTTCTTGCCCCTTTTCCTTTTTCCTCTCTAGCCAGAGGCCCTTTACTTCATCATTGAGAAAGTCAGGCAACACCTGATGTGATTGGAAACTAGTCACACCTGCCTCACTCTACTGAGATGAAACATGGAGTCTATTACACATCTCAGTTCCTCATGCTTGATGGAACAGAAATCGCTTTTTTGTGGTGGATGAGTGGATGAGTTTCTTGAGATATGGTCGTCTTTCAGGGATCGTTAGCTTGTCAGTCCCTTCAGAGTGATGGTGTTCAGGCGTGATCAGAGCACTGTCGCACTGTAACATGACCCAAGGGTTGGGAAGTGCCGTATATAAAAAGTGGATAGTGCCATTATGCTCACAGTTTTCACTTGCTTTTTCTTTAAACAGGAGGATGGTTTTATTAAAGAGTTAAGCACTGCCATGCAGCTCCTAAGAAACTGTCTTTATCAAAATGAAGAATGTAAAGTAAGTAGAGTGCCTTCTCAAAATCGTGGTAGCAGCACTGATACTAAGCAGTTTAATTACGATATGAGATAATACCGGAGGGAAATTGGAGAACTCTGAATTTTATTTTTTTAAGATGCACAGTTGATTGGTTCATAAACTCAATGATAATTCTGAGCAGTGAGTGCACCTCAGCTTGTTATCTTTCAGCACTGAATATGTTTCTTACATCAGTGTTTTCACTTTATCATCGGAACTTCGACATCAGGCAGCTCATGCAAATGCTAGCCTCTTTGTGTGCTCTGATGCATGTCAGTTGTTTCTGTGCTAGGATGGGATGAATGGGTGTGTGTATCTCAGAAGGTGGATTTTTTCAAAGGGGGTTGTCTGAACACGTCTCCACAAGAGAATAACGAGATATCTGGATCCTAAGGAAAGAAGATGAGTATGTTTCCTGCTTCAGAGTAGAAAATACTTTCTGCTCTTACCTATCGTGGCCGTATATACCTAGAGGTAGTGATTTAATTCTAATGCTGCTGACACCCAGTGACCCTTTATGCTTGGAAACCATTGAGATGTTTTGCTTTGTAAAATACTGATACTGTAGTTTTGAAACATTGTATGGGTACTATTATACAGAATAGAATCTTTTGAGCATTTGATTTGCTGTATCTATACTGATTCAGCACTATTAAAGTACTAGATTAGTACAAAAGTACTGTGGAAAATGGGTAAGGCAAAGAGAAATTATAGAAGCTTCCTCTGTTTTTTAAATCTTACCTTTTTTGCTTTTACTTATGGTAGAACTGGACAAAAACATCTGGAAAATGAACATCTTGAACATGTATTCCTTAAGCTGTATTAAATAGTTTGTTCAAGACACATCATTAAAAATTTACATTTCAAAAAAAATTGATAGGAATTAAGTATTTATACATTTTATTAAAATTCCCAGTATATGAGCTTTTTTCCTCAAAATAGAGGTGTCATTTACTAAATTTATGATTCCCTTATGCTAAATAGTATCCTCATGACTTACATATTCGTCCATGATACCTTACTTAGGGAATACACTAGAATATTTGCCAGGTAAGATCTAACCTGGGTACTGGTTGCAAACATAGTGCTCACATTTGTATCACATTTATCACCTGTAAAAGTGCAATGTCTCAATAAGTCAAAGCATTTCCATGTTTTTCAAGTTTAATAAGGAATAAATCAAAAGAAGAATTTGTATTACTTTTAAGTATAAATGCAGTCTTATGGGGGAGAGAGTCTTAATTTTTTTTTTTCTTTTCCAACTTACCTGATATATATGACACACTGTTATTACTACTTGCTGATCACTACCATGGTCATTTGCAATGTCAGCCACCCCCACCCAACCCTGGTGTGTGTATTTCTGTAGAATTCAGCGGTTTTCATACTGGAGGGATCACTGGCAGCTGTGAGGTAAATGCATTGGATAGTTGACAAGGCTAGAGGTAGGGGAGATGATGAGACTTGGGCGGTTAGAAAACAGGGAGGGAATGGGGAGTACATTTGCCATATTGAGAGAGGAGAAATGTAAAATAACTTCCAAGTCCAGCTCAAGTCATTTACCAATGCAAAAGTACATGCTAAAGCAGAGCGCACGTGTGAGAGATCAGGATGGTCTGGCTTGTGGTGCTAGTGTAAGGGGGCTTTGGAGCCTCCAGGTGGGAAATACCTTGCTGTCAGTAGATTGTAAGGCTCTGGGGCTCTCAGGAGAGATACAGGCTAGGGATCGTAGGAGTTATCAGTGTATAAATGGAGTTTGAATCCATGACTATAGTTGAAATTTCCCATGAGAGAATATAGTGAAAGGCTAGGCCATATTCTTGGGAAATACAAGTATTTAAGAGAAGGCAGAAAACAGCTGAGAAAGGAATCTTGGAGAAGGAGATTGGAAATAACCAGGAAGAGTGGCAGCGTGGAAATAAAGAGTAAAGAGACCTATGACAAATAGGGCACATGCCACAGTTCCTGAGACTTTGGCAACTACTAAGGTAGGAGTGGTCAGAGTAGAATTAGGACAGGAAGGAAATTGTAGTGAGCTGAAGATTAAATGAGATGGAGAAATGACAGCTAGAAGCTTGTCAAGAAAAGCAGCATTAATAATTTAGGAGATACAACATTTAAGAAAGTTAGTCTGTGTGTTTGTTTCTCCTAATATGTGAACTACCTGAGAAATCAGCAAATCGGGCATTAGTATTGAAAAGAGGAAAGAAAAGAAGTAATTGATGGACAAAGATCCTTAAGGAGGCAAGTGGGGCTGCATTTCAGGACACAGATGGATATATTAATCTCTCAATAAAAAGAGGAACACTGATTCCTCACTGACAGGCAGAAAGGAAGGATGAATGGATGCAATAAGCTACATGGATAGAATGGCAGAATAGAGAAAGAGTTCTTACCAAATAACATCTGTTTTCTCTGTGAAATAGTAAGCAAGGTCATTGCTACAAAAGTAGGAGCCATGTTCCAAGCTTATGGAGAGTGGTGATCCTTGGGAATAACATAGGGAATAACTGCAAAACTTAGACAGTGGTGAACCTTGGGAATAACCAGTGGAATAACTTCAGAACTTGCGGAGACTGGTGCAACATTGGGAATAATTTCCTTCCTCATGACCTCATTTTGCCACTTGATGCTACATAAAATTGAGTAGGGTGTGTATACATATGTGTGTGCATACACATGTGATGTGAGTCTATGTGTTACCTAGTAATTCCTGTTCATTTAAAAAATATATTGCTGCATTTTTCTACCGCTGTATTTTATCCATACTATTATCCAGTAGTAATTGATCTAGTAGTAATAAAGACTGAGTTACTTAAGAATTTTATTGACCTAAGATAATATATTTACTGAATTTTACTATATTCAAATTATTCAAAAACAGTAATCTACTTCTGGAGTGTGTGTGGGTGGGTGGGTGTGTGCTGCCTCTGTGTGCGTATCTCAGAGTTGATCAGAATGTCTGCTTAACCAGAAAATCCCATATCTTGACTAAATCAGAGCATTGATAAGAGTGTATTCAGTGTTGTGAGATATCACTTCCCTGCATAACTTAAATGTTACAGAAGCTGTTTTCTACATTTCCCACATAACTTGCATATCCTGAAGGGACTTCTGAGCCTCCTGGGCTCTTGGTAAGCACAGCCTTGTGCGGAGCCCAGGGGGCCTGGGGCAAGATGCCGAATCCACTGCAAGGATGCTGACAAAAGCAAGGGACCTCACAGTAAAGATCAATTCAGTCTTTGTTTTCTTTAGTAGGCAGCAATTTTTAAAAATTTTATTTTAATTTTATGTTTTCAGATATTCAGACTAATGCTGTCCTTATTTCTTTTCCACAACAGGAAGCAGCTCTTGAGGCTTATCTTGTCCCTGTCTTGCACTCCCTCTGGCCTTGGCTTCTGATGGATGATTCACTGATGCAAATTGCCCTGCAGCTACTTTGTGTCTATACTGCAAATTATCCAAATGGTAAATGTAATACTGTCTGTACAGTAATATGCTAGAACTCTTAATTTTATTTAATGTTGTTAAGGTAGGCTTAAAAACTTAATACATATTTTGAAGTGTTTTTCCTATCTGTTGAGGATATATTTTTCAAAGGCAAGCTTTCCTGTAAGTATTGTAAGCACAGACAGATATTTTAAAGTATGTTTGTTGAGATGGATCCCTGGTGGCTCAGTAATTAAGCATTTGGCTGCTAACCAAAAAGGTTGGCAGTTTGAATCCACCAGCAGGTTTCCTTGGAAACCCTTTGGGGCAGTTCTACTCTGTCCTATAGGGTTGCTGTGAGTCGGAATCAACTTGACGGCGGTGGGTTTGGTTTTTTGTTTAGATAGAAGAGTACATTAGGCAGCATAGGGAATAGAGAGGGAGAAGCCCGCCAGGTTATACGGTAGTGGGAAACTGAGTTTAACATAAAAATCGAGAGGGTGCAAATTATGATGTAAGACCTTGAAAACCAGGTAAAGGTAAAAAAATTTCATAAGTTCTAGTGCAGGAGACTGGTATAATGAAAATTAGTTCTAGATGCAGTTGGTCTGGTGATAGCTGATATCCTTGGGGCTGCTCTTTGATTCATGTCATTTGACAGACATTTTATTGAGAGTCTACTATGGACTAGGCATTGTTAGAGGCCCTGGGAAAGAGGAATGGTGGTGTAAAGGCCCTGAGGCAGAGATAAGTTTGATGCATTTAAGAAACAGAAGGCAGATCACAGTGAGCTGTGGTGAAAGTGGTGTGAAATGAGAGAGGAGGAGGACAGATCATGCCGGCCCTCAGGGCCAGGGGAAGGCATTTGGATTTTTACTCGAGTGTGATAGGGAGGAAATGGAGGTATAAGCTGGGGAGTGGCATGGTGTGCCTTGTGTTTGAAGAAGATCACTCTCGCTGGTGTGTGGAGAATAATGGATCATTAGGGGCAAGAGTGGAAGCAGAGTGACTGGTTTGGAACAACAAATAGTGGCAGCTTGGGCTAGAGTGGTAGCAGGAGAGATTGAGAGACATGGATAGATTCGGGAATTGGTCCATAAGTAGAGCTAAGACAACTAATGGAAGGTGGGAAGGAACCCAGGTATCCAGGATGACCCTTGGAGCAGTGAGCCTGAGTGTGCGGTGGTGCCATTTATTAAAACGGGAAAGGTTTTTGGAGTAGCAGGTTTGACCTGGGAAAGAAATGGAAATCAAAAGTTCTGTTTTGGTCATGTTTAAGTTTGAGGTGTCTTTATACATCCACGTGGAAATACTAAGTTGGAGGTATATTCAGAGGAGAGGTAAGATAGAAGATAAAAAATGTTGGGAGTCATATTAATTATCGCTGCGTAACAAATCACCTCAACACTTCACAGCCATAAACAGCAAACACTCTATTTCATAGTTTCTGTGGGCGAGGAATATGGAGCAGCTTAGCTGGGTGGTTCTGGCTTAGTCAGTTTGTTTTGAGGCTGCAGCTAAGGTGCCAGCTGGGGCTGCAGTCATCTGAAGCCTTGGCAGGGGCTGGAGGGTCTGCTTCCAAGGTCACTAATGTGGCTATTGGCAGGAGGCCTTGGTTCCTTGCCATGTAGGCCTCTCCTCCACAAGGCGGCCTCACAATGTGGCAGCTACTTTTCCCGAGCAAACGGTCCAAAAGTGAGAGCGCCTGTGACAGAAGCTGCAGTCTGTTATAGTATAATCTTAGAAGTGACATCCTATCACTTTTGCTTTATTCAATTGGTCACACAGACCAATACTGATACAGTGGGGGAGGGGACTGTCATGAGTGTGAATACCAAGAGTCGGTGTCATGGGGCCACCTTAGAGGTCCTTGTCCTATAGATTGTAGGTAAAGCCATGGGCCTTTGAGATCATCCAGGAGAGTATATGCACGGGGAGGAGGAGGAGCCCTGTGACCCAGCCCTGGGGACGTCAGCCTTTGGAGTTGAGCATAAGATGATGAGAAGGAGCAGCCAATTGGGTAGGATGCAGAGTCACAAAAAGCCAGAGAAGGGAACATTGAGCTGTGCCAAATGAAAACTCTAATAAAATGAGGATAGAAAGCAATGACTACTGGAATTGCCAACAATGATGTACTTGGTGACCTTAAGAGCAATTTTTGCAACACTGGGGACAGAAGCCTAATCCGTGTGGGTTGAGAAGAGGAGGTGAAGAACTGGACACAGCTTTTCCAGATGTTTTCCTTCTAAGGGCAACAGAGAAAGGGAGCAATAGCAAGAGATGAATGTGGAGTCAGGGAAGGGTTTTGTTTATTTTGAAGATGGATGTTTTTAAGATGCGTTTACTAATCCATGAGATTGGGAGAAAGATTCAGGAGAGTGCGGGCAATTGCAAGAGTGAAGTCTGAGTACATGAGAGGGCATGCAATCCTGCATCAGGTTGAGGGGCTTGGCCGATAAGAACAGGGACACTCCATCAGCTGTTACAAGAGGATAAGATATGTACTGTTACAGCGTGGAGATTAAGGTCGGTTGGTAGATTTCATGAGAAAGAGGAGAGAGTTCTCACCTGAATGTTTCTGTTTTTTCATTAGTTATGAAAGAGGACCAACAAAGAGTGAGCAGAGACAGAGTGAAAGTGACTGGAGAAGGGACTGGAACAGATGTGAATCCTGTTTTAGAGGAGGGGAAGCAGACAGGCCAGGGAAGTGAAGTCAGATTGCTGGCAGTATTAAGTACCCATTTAAAACTGAAGCCAAAAAACCAAACTCATTGCCTTCGAGTCAATTTCGACTCATAGCGATCCTATAGGACAGAGTCGAACTGCCCCATAGGGTTTTCTTGGATGCAGTCTTCACGGAAGCAGGCTGCCGCATCTTTTCTCCCACAGAGTGGATGATTCATTCAAACCGCCAACCTTTCATTAGCAGCTGAGTGCTTAACCACTGTGCCACCAGGGTTGGCACCGTGATTGACAGACATGCTTTACCACTTAGTGTTTTAAGAAACTCTGCTATGAAGCTGAGAAGACATTGTGACAGGCTGTTATTTGTTCAGGTTGCAGTTCTCTTTGTTGGTCCAGTTATGGACAGTATCCTGTTCAACCTGCATGTAGAGGGGCTCCCAGCAGCTCCCTGATGCTGTGCATTATGAAGTTGGCATCCCAGATGCCTCTGGAGAACAGTGCTGTTCAGCAGACGGTATTCATGTTCCTCTCCAACCTCGCCTTGTCTCATGACTGCAAAGGGGTCATTCAGAAGGTAAGTACTGAGCTCTCCTCCCTGTCGTAAGAAGGTGTGCAGAAAAACACACCGCCTTCCAATGATGGACACGTGGGAAGTCTGGAAGTCAGCTCCTAGGGTTAATTTATTGTTGCTTCCAGACGTTTTATTTTAAAGGAGTGTAAAAGGATTAAGAGGCTCACTTTGTTTAAAGTCAGTTGATGATACATGAAAAAGGACAGACACTAGATAAGGGAGATCATAACATTTCCTTTTAGTTTATCTTCTTAGCTTTGGGATTGTGTTTTATCTCTCACAAAAATGAGGATTTTAGAAAGACAGCTGTCTTACATTTATTTGTGAACATAAAAGTAATACGTTTGAGTAGTAACAATCTCAGTTCATTTTATGTTAGCAAAATGGTTTATGGAATCAAAGCCCCTTTCCCCCCTTTAACTGCTTTGTGACATAATAGGCATTCATTCTTTTGTGAGTCCTCTGGGGCTCCAATGTCAAAATTTGACTTCTTATCACTGATTTTAACTCAGGGTGCTTTAAAAGGGATCGGATGAGTTAAACATATTCTAGTATGTGTTGTCAGAGTCTCTGTTTAGATGTGTATAAACAAAATTTCTAATTTGGAAAATTCCTTAAAGTTTGAAAATGATCATATGATCTATGACTAGCTAGTATATGGTAAAGGCTTCTGTTTTTGTTACATGAAGGCCAAGATAAGTTGCAAAAGTTGACAGCATTCATCCTTTTTCTCTCCTGTGTCATCTCCCCCTACATCCGCTCAAAGAAACTGAGCGTAATCACCAAATAAAGAAGACCAGTTTTACTAAGGAGAGATCATTTCAGTAGCGTGTTGGAGCCAGCTCACACTGGCTCATGAGTGCCATCATTAAATCTTCAGGAATTTTGCAAGCCAGTTGACATGATGTTAGCGTCTTGAAATCTGCCATAGTAGGTGTATCCACACCATGGGAATTGACAAATGCACAAATCAGGGAACCCCACCTTTACTGGAGCCAGTTTTTAGACATTTACCAGCACACGACTGGGAATTTTCTTTCACTTCCCAAATGAGAAGTCACCTTGAACTGGATGCATGTGATTACCACCTTTCAAAACTAGAGATCCCACATTGTGTAAGTACACAGACAGGGCAGTGCTTCCCTCGGCGTCTCCCTCATAGAGCACAGTGGCAAGAGCTGAAGTAGGGGCCCCCAAATGGAATGTCAGTGTTCATTGTGGGTCTGGTGTGTAACTTTGAGCTGGAGACGTATTTTCTTTAAGCCTCAGTTGCTTCATATTAAAAATAATTAAGCTCAACAAAAGGATCTCAGTTATGATTCTGGTGCTATACTTAAGAATATTTTGATGTAAGTGTGATGAGACTCAATTCACAGAGGCCAACCAATCAAGTCATTTTCCTCTGCTCTAATTAGGAAACTCCTGAGACTTCTGTGCTGCATTTAGTTATAATTAGCTCTTGGCTACCTACAGTTCTACCACTGCATTACTCATCTGTAGGCACTAGAAAATGCAGTGAGCACTACTGCACAACTAAGGTGCCGAACTATCCAGTTTCTCTCTACCATGGCCCATTACTACACATTCTACCTGTCTAAGAACGTCTTTAGGCCCAGCAAGGAGGAGGTTCGCCAGCAACCCATTCCATGTTAAAACACTGAAAATATTTTATCTCTAGGCCAGCCCCAAATCTCTAATCTTATGGTAGTGTCTTGCTGAATGGGAAAGTAAAGGAGTGGATTTTTAAAAAGTCTTAATTTAGGCTGAGGGATGACTGTTAGTAACAGCAAGTACATTTCAGAAGTAGGTATATAGTTTTACAGTTCACTTATGGCTTGGGTAATGTTGCTACTATTCCTGTAGCTCATTTCATTCTTCTACTCAGAGTTCCTTGACATAAAAATATTAAATTCATTTTATAGATTCAAGCCAACATCCTGATTTAGGTCCAGGAGAACCCAAGAAATAAGCCAAAGCAGATTATTAAATAGAGTGAGATGAGATGTTCTGGGCAACTGTGAAAGTTAAGTGATCACATTTCTGCATCCTGATCAAGCTAGAATTCCCAACTGACTGTGGTTCCCATGCCGCATCGGCTTCTACTTGACATAGTACTTTCATACTTTATTTTGTTTGCCTATAGATTATTCTAGACAATGATTTATTGCCTTTTATATAGTTATGGGTTTGTTGGGGTTTTGTGGAAGAGGTTTCATTTGGAGGTTATAATGACTGTTACAGTTCAGGTAATAGAGTTTTCTCATCTGTAAGTTTAATATAATGACATGTAGCCAGGAGAAATTATTATCTGTAATGATAATTACTGGTGGAAAGTGAATATACGCTGTATCTACACTTTTTTTTTTTTTAACATGCTTGTAGCTATAGTGATTCAAAATATCCTCACCTCTACCAGGGTCGGTAACTAGTACCTAAGACATTGATTTGGGTTTGTTTCTTTTTCCTCCCATGGGATAGTTGTCTTAGTCATTTAGTGCTGCTGTAACAGAAGTACCACAAATGGATGGCTTTAACAAAGAGAAAGTTTATTCTCTCACAGTCTAATAGGCTAGAAGTCCAAATTCAGGGTGTCAGCTCCAGGCAAAGGCTTTCTCTTCCCTGTTGGCTTTGGTGGCAGGTCCTTGTCATCAATCTTCCCCTGGAGTAGGAGCTTCTCTGCACAGGAACCCCAGGTCCAATGGGCGCGCTCTGCCCCCGGCACTGCTTTCTTGGTGGTATGAGGTCCCCAACTCTCTGCTTGCTTCTCTTTCCTTTTATCTCTTGTAAGATAAAAGGTGGTGCAGCCACACCCCAAGGAAACTCCCTTTACGTTGGATCAGGGATGTGACCTTAGTAAGGGCGTTACTATCCCACCCTCATCCTCTTTAACATAAAATTACAATCACAAAATGGAGGACAACCACACAATACTGGGAATCATGGCCCAGCCAAATTGATACACAGATTTTTGGGGGGACATAATTCAGTCCATGATGATAGTTGTTTTTTTTTTTTAACTATACTTTTTTTTTTTTAATTTTGTGGTGCTTTAGGTGAAAATTTACGGCTCAAGTTAATTTCTTTTTTAAAAATGTAATACACATATTGCTTTGTGACATTGGTTGCAGTCCCCACAATGTGACAGCACACTTCCCCTTTGCACCCCGGGTTCCCTGTGACCATTCGTCCAGATAGTTTTTAATGAGTAGCAAAATTGCCAGAAGGCACACAGTGAAAACTCAAGAGGCCTGAAATAACCCCCAGTCTGAATTATCAATCCTAAGTAATTAAGAGTTGACTGTATTTTACTTCATCCATCATCAGAAAAGAATTAGTAAAGATTAAAATTCGAGCACTGTTGTGTTCTCCTTATCTTTTTTATTTACACCTGGAGATAATATAGATGGAGTATTTGGAGGGTTATTAGGAAGGAGAAATTAAAATTGGGGAAAGGAATGCCAGAATGCTAGCTAATTGGTCACTAAGGGAATAGGGAAATAATGAAAAGACTCAAGAAGAACATAATATTTTCTCCGTTCACCCACAGAGCAACTTCTTACAGAACTTTCTGTCTCTAACATTGCCAAAAGGAGGAAATAAACATCTCAGTAACCTGACCATTCTGTGGTTGAAGTTACTCCTGAACGTATCGTTTGGAGAAGATGGGCAACAGATGATCCTGAGGCTCGACGGCTGTTTGGACTTACTCACAGAGATGAGCAAGTACAAGCACAAGAGCAGTCCCTGTATACCTCTCCTTATCTTCCACAATATTTGCTTTGGTCCTGCTAATAAGCCCAAGATACTGGCTAACGGTAAGTAGTCTCGTACATCACACATGCACACACACGTGTATGTATACATACATTTATACATGGGGTTATTTACAGACTATTCCGTTCAGATAGAAACACTGGAAGTAATTGTATAATAATTTACTGGGGTGTGTTAGAGGCCCCAGCTGTGTGCCAAGCCCTATGGAAGGCAGGGCATGGGGATGAGTCACAGGTGGCCCCACCTGCCAGAGGCTGCCGAGCCCACTGGGGTTAACAAACCGTGTTGTCTGGGATAGACACACTGTACACAGGAGGCCACAAGGGAATGGGAGTATTGGGCATGTAGATTGCATGTAGGGCCTTCCGGTCCTCCCACCTCTCCTGCTCTTCCTCCAACTCCCCGTCTTCTCCTCCAGGTCTCTGAGCAAGTGCTGCCATCTCAGTGAAGCCTTTGCAGACCAGCCTGTCGAAATGGCAGCACCACCCTTCTCCTGCTTCCCTCTCCCCTCCTTCTTCTGTCTCCTTCCCCCATTTTTTTTTTCTCCATAGCAATATCACCATCAGATGAACTCTGTGTTTTACGTGTTTGTTTATTGCTAGTCTTCCTGCACTAGAACATAAGCTCTATGGGGTGAGGGATTTTTGTCTGTTTCGTTCATGCTGTATCTGTAGCATCTGGGACTGTGCCTGTCACGTTGTGAGCATCTGGTAACTGAGAGAGGGAGTGAGGGCTAAGCAGGTGGGAGAGCTCAGGACCCAGGGCCAAATGCGACATGAGCCTTGCCGAAGCTTCATTCTCTGAGTGGGCGGACACAAGAGAGTGAGGACTTAGGAAAATGGTGAAGAAGAAAAAGAGAAATCAAAAGATCTGTGTTCGCAGCCATGTTTCTGTCAGGAGTGTGTGACTTCCATAGGGAAGGAGTTTTATAAGAGGACACTGGGTTATAGTAAAAAAAGAAAGAAAAAAAACGAGAGAGAGAGAGAAAGCACGAGACCCCACCCGCCTGGTCTTGGATGCATGCTCATTCCACGTCACCTGGGGCAACTTCACTTCTCTGGGCATTTGTGGTTTAGATAGGAATCAGTTTATGAATATATGTAAAGTGCTTTAGCACTGTTCCTGGTACATGGGAGATGCTCAAGTTGTATTTATTCTTTTCCTTCCATGTTTTTCACTTAATTTTTTCTCAAAGGGTTTTTTCTGTGAACCATGGAGCTTTCAAGGTGGGTGGAGGTCATGCTACTTCACACTCTGCGGTTTCTGTTTCTCTGATAATAACGATTGAATTGCTAGAAATATCATATGGAAAGATTTGTAAGGTTCAGTCACCTCTAGCTTGCCTACATTACTGTGTATCTCACCTTGCTCCCTGGCCCCTTAGCTGACACCACGCTCTCAGCCCCTGGGGGTCCATCATGCTTTTGTCCCCATCCTCACACTGTATCTGTTCCAGCTGCACATTTGTTACATGAGGTTAATAAGAGTCCCTGCCTTACAGGGCATGAGACGCATAGGAGAAGTATCTGTTACTGCTCCTGATATATAGTAGCTACTCAGTAGTACCCATTGTTATTTATTCACCTTTCTCAATATGTTTTTTTCTTTGAAGACTACTTACTGCATTTTTATTATGGAGAGAGTTGGAAGAAGATTAGGCTTTTAGGCAACTAAGGGAAAAGATACTATTTTCCAATTCTAGATCCCTCTGGATTCATTTTTAGCATTTCCTTGTAGTCAGTACTATGTTCTCTCCTTCATTAGCCTGAAATGATGGACAAACTTTGGGCGAGACAGAGCCTCCTTAGACTGAGATCAGTGGGCTTTCAAGGCAGGCACAGGAGGAGAGGCAGCAGTTGTGAAACTCGTGTGTGGAGCTAGGGAACGGGTGGTTGCAGGCTTGGCCTCCCTCTCCCTGGGTCCAGAGAGGTGGCCTCAGCAGAGCCAGCCAGCCTCACAGTCCACTAGGGAGGCCGCAAGTGGCTTTGATCCTAGGCCCAGACATCTGGTTCAGATGGTCGGGAGTGGAGTGTGCTTGACCTTGCTGTTAAAAATAGATCCAGAGAGCTCCCTATTTCTTGTCAGGTCATGTCAGCTGAAGTCTTCTCTAAAAACAAGAAAAACATGCTAGATAAAACTTAACTGAAGTCCACCTTAAAAAGAATCAAAGAACTGAAAAGATAGTGGGAAACTTCCAGGCTTTGCCTGTACCCTGAGAGAGAGGAAGTTTATAGAAAGCTCTTTTGCCCCCAAGGACATCTGCCAGTATTCTGTGTTTGTGCTTTTGTTCAGGAGTGCCAAGGGGCGAGGGGTCAGAAGTGAAGACTCTCCAGGGGTGGGAAGCCTTAGGGAGTCCTGTCCATGTTGAGCTGGAACCCCAAAGGCCTGTCCTCTTGGGATGAGGAAGAATCAGAATAAAATTGGTCCTCCTGCCCTCATCCAAGAGACTGTAAAGAAAATAAAAAAGATCTGTGAGAAAGGACACCACAGACTGCCCTTCATGGGGCACTGCACCCTGATAGGTGTAGCATATGTAGCCTCCGGGGGCCATGAAGTGGGTGTGTCCTTGATTGGTGGCACCTCTGAGTGCTTCACAGAGCAAACTGCCTTTCTGAGGAAGGACACTCTCATGCTAGGCCTCAGGGAACTACCACAAATGATTTTTCAAAGCTCACAGTGAAAGATAACCATGCACATTAGGAATCAAGGCAACATGTGTGAGAACCAGCAGGGGAAAAAACACCAACTACCTGACTAGATGTCACATACTGGAATTTTAAGACACAGATTTAAAAATGGCTTTAATTATACCATATTAATTGTACCGTATCTAGATGCCTAGATAAGGGGTTCCTGGCTGGTGTAAATCATAAGTGCTCAACTAGTAACCCAAAGGTTGGCGGTTTGAACCCACCCAGAGGTACCACAGAAGAAAGGCCTGGCGATCTATTTCCAAAAGGTCACAGCCTTGAAAACCCTGTGGTGCACAGTTGTACTCTGCAACACATGGGGTTGCCATGATTTGAAATGTACACAATGGCAACTGTTTTTTTTTTTTTTTTTAAATGGTTAGACTATATACCGGTGAACCAGACACACACTCTGTCCTTAAACTACTTACAGTTTAATTCATTGCATCCCAGTGGGTCTGGGGAAGGGTTATTGTATACAGAGAGAGCCCAGGAATATGTGTCTCTCACCCTTAAGAACGCAAACATTTTTCCCCCTTTTTTAATTTTTTATTATTGTGCTTTAGGTGAAAGTTTACAGCTCAAGTTAGTTTTTCATACAAAAACTTATACACACAATGTTATGTGACTTTAGTTGCTATCCCTATAATGTGACAGCACACTCCCCGTTTTCCACAGCATTCCATATCCATTCAACCAGCTCCTATCCTTTTCTGCCTTCTCATCTCACCTCCAGACAGGAACTGCCCATTTAGTCTCGTGTATCTACTTTAACTAAGAAGCACACTCTTCATGCATATCGTTTTATGTCTTATAGTCCAGTCTAATCTTTGTCTGAAGAGTTGGCTTCAGGAATGGTTTTAGTTCTGGGTTAACAGAAAGTCGGGGGCCCATGACTTCTGAGGTTCTTCTAGTCTCAGACTATTAAGTCTGATCTTTTTACTAGAATTTGAGTTCTGCACCCCGCTTTTCTCCTGTTCTATCAGGGACTCTCTGTTGTGTTTCCTGTCAGGGTGGTCATTGGTGGAAGCCGGGCATCGTCTAATTCTGGTCTCAGGCTGATGGAGTCTCTGGTTTATGTGGGCCTTTTTGTCTCTTGGGCTAATATTTTGCTTGTGTCTTTGGTGTTCTTCATCCTCCTTTACTCCAGGTGTGTTGGGACCAATTGAAACATCTTAGATGGCCGCTTGCTAGCTTTTAAGACCCCAGATGCCACTCATCAAAGTGGGATGCAGAACATTTTCTTTTTCTTTTATTGTTGTAGTTTAAATGAAGTTTACATTTCAAGTTAGTCTCCCGTAGAAAAATTTATACATACATTGTTATGTGACCCTAATTGCTCTCCCCATACTGTGACAGCGCACTCCTCCTTTCCACCTCTGATTGCTGATGTCCATTCAGCCAGCTCCTAACCCTTTCTGCCTTCCCATCTCACCTCTGGACAGAAGCTGCCC